GCTAAAATAAAATATAACTATATATACATTTTGAGAAAATATAAAAATAATCATCGTCTTTAATCAAACTAAAGTGCCGAATACTTTCTGTGTCCAGCCTCTGAAATATACAGAACCAACCAAGCACGTTGTTCAGTCATCGAGGGACTGTGAAGAGCATTTATTCACAGATCTTCTGATGATTTTCTCGATAAACTTGATTCAGTTTTCTCTAGAAAAAGAAACGTCACATTGGTGAAGGTGGAACTTGTGGAGTAAAAATGAAGATTTCAACGTTCACACAATTGGTGGCGATTAATTTTCCTCTGATTGAAGGATTTGGAATCAGGAGACTAAAGGGGATTGAAGAATATTTAAACATCATGACTCTGCATTAGTTTATCGTCATGTGAGGAATTTTGACTTATTTTTAATTTTACTCTTTAACTCTGGAAAGACAATAAATCTTTGTCGCTACTTGTTCGCCGGGCAAACAGAAGACGTTACGTTACACAGGATTATCTGAATGCATAAATATTTTTTTGCGTATAGTCTCTTAATCCTCTGTGAGACCTTATTAAATCTAAATTCAATTCATTTAAAACGCTTCTCCACCGACACTGCAGCCCTGAGTACTGATCTCCATCAGTTACCCTGTTATGTGCCACTTTCTCCTGCTCCTGACCTTTGACCCCCTCCACAAACAGTGGCGGTGCTGCTCATGCTGCACGACGCTTCCCCCGAGCGCGACCTGTCAGACGTACCCGACTACCACTCTCCTCTGCCGAGCGTAAGCGAGAGGTTGTCACAGCGGTCCTCCGACGTGTTTACACTGGCTGCTGATTAATGCAGCGGAGAACATGCCACGTCCCGCCGCAGCATCTCCAATCTAAACACAACCCTCCAGAGGAGCTGGCTGTGGCCCATGTATGGGGCGAGTGTTTACCCAGCGCCCATCAGTCTCACTGGTCGCAGGCGAGGCAGAGGCAGCGCTGGGTCTGAACCGGGACAGTGTCTTAATCATCCGCGTGTACGACAGCGGATTCCGGGAACAGATTAAACGGAGGGTCGTCCGCTGAGCGTTATCTCTCGTACCACTCCGTGTCATCCATGTTTACACCTGAGCTCTCCTCTAGTTACTGCGGAGGAATAACAGAGCGTTGGCCCGAAACCATAAAACTCAGCAGCAGCAGCCAATTCAATTCAGCAGATAACGGTGAACGAACCCTCACACTGCAGACAGCAAGACAAACAGCATCAGCTGCTGCTTTGACAAAGCAACGTTCTGCTGTTCACCTGAAAAAGGATCCAAGGTTCTTTTTCCATCAAGCCTAAAACAAAAGAATGGGCCACGAATTCATATCTGAGCTGTAAAATAATGAATTTGAATGATTTACTTCATGTGCATTAATTCATTTAAAGTAGAAAACTACTCTTTGATGAGTTGACTCAAAGATCATGGTTTGAAAACGTCCCCTTGGACATTTTTCTTCATTTTCCAAACATATATGAAATATTTAAATGAATATGTTATGATCAAAATAATCATTTGTCGAAGCTGTGATTGAATTGTGCTGTCAGTGATGCAGCAGTCAAGCTGTTCGCAGTGTGAACGGCAACAACAGCTAAAATGAACGAGTCGCTGCATCAAGTAAGATCTGAAATCACTTCCTCCCGAGGAAAACTCATCATCTAAAAATCAATTCATCGTCTTCTTCAACACCAAATACTACATTACATCAAGTTTAAAGAAAATCAAAGCTAAAAAAAATAAACACAATACAATCCTTAATATCTGTGTCAAGAGAAGGTCACTTTCAATTTAACCCACAAGGGATGACAGTGATCGTAATACTCGGATTTAACAACCACACGAAGACGACCAGACAAACTCCGCGACTATTCTCTGAAGCTCGACAAACATGAAACTCTACGAGCCGCGGCATCAAATCACCGATGGTCCTGGAGGCAACTATTTTAGCCGCGGTTACTAAAGTTTGTTTTGCAGGTTTTGGGATTAATCCGAAATCGTATTGTTATATGTGCCACGGTGCAACTTTGGCGTTTTAAAGCGCGCTGTGTCGCACACAGGAATAAACACGAAGAGCTCAGACAAAATATTAACACGTCAGAAGTGCAAAGTAAAAATAAATTACAGTACAGTCATGTTTAATATTGATGCTTCTAACTTCAGTCCTTGGCTTTTTTAGAAAAAACTTCAACACTTTATTTTAGGGGGAATGATGAAACCTATGGCCATTTATTTTTAGAATGTTTGTGGATGAATTTGTGTGAATTTCGATGTCGTATCTCATGAGGTCTTTGGTTGCAGCCACCATTTTAACATCTGATATCCAGCAACAATCTACCTGTCCGTGCACAATTCGGAGAAAAATAACAGGTAACGACGCGGGATTATGATGGAGGAACAAAATCAGGAAGGAAATGGAGAAGCGGAATGACGATAATGATGTTTACTGTGCAAACTTCAGGAATGAGCTCATCTCATTTCTATGTGCTGATGACATGAGTGAAATGAAAGGCAAGACGGTTCACCACAAAGTTTAAATGATTAAAGTCCAACTAATGCAGTGTTTCTGGGGCTGATTTTAGGGAGTAAAATATTCCTATATTGAAATATCACCTATTTCTTTATCTTATGATATATATACATGATTTTTGATCTTTTTTTTTTTCCTTTAATGTTTGGAAAACAACTGTGGTGTCATCTCATTCTGCTCCTGCGGCTCATATATATTCTAAAAGCCTTCTCTTCCGTTTTTAAACATTTCAGCAGGAGCTCAATTTATGACGAAAAGCCATTTTTTGAAGGCAGCTGTTACCTTGTGACTCTGTCTTGAATCTGGAGTCCAGAGTTTTCTCAACATCAATTTTTTTTTTTACAAGCGTCTGTTGTGGAAACTGAAACTAGTTGTTGAGCGTGGCTGCCTGCTCCTTCTCCACTTTGTCTTTGGCCTTTTCCTTCTCCACCAGCTTCTCCTCCTTCTGCAGCATCACCATGATGTCGGTCACCTGAGTGGTGGAGATGTCGATGTCCTCCTTGTCAATCAGCTCCACCACCTGAGATAGAGACAGACAGAGGGAAGTCAACAAAGACTAATCTGAAATATTTCAATAAGACAAAACATGGTTAAACATGGCGTCCGAGCGATAAAGTGGTTTTCATGTTGAGAAATAATGGAGAAGTGAAATCTAACGAAATACAAAATGCAAAACATAAATCAGTGGAATCATCGTTTGCAGTCGACGTACTTTGATGACGTCGTCGATGTCGATCTTCCCGTCCTTGTTGTCGTCGAGCGCCTCGGCGATGCTCTGCAGCTTGTGCTCTGGAATGTTCTGGATCTGCCGCATGACGTTGATCAGCTCGTCGATGCTGATGAGGTTCTCCCTGAAGGTATAGAACAGACTGTATACAGGAAACGGTTAAAAGGTTTGACCGGACGTAAAATGCGGTGGAGAGGTCCGAGGTCAACATGCTGCATTCAAGGTTCCCAGATCACAACCAATCAAAGGGAGTTTAGAGATTTTTAAATTCACAACAGGTTAAATTTAGTTCAATTTTGTATTTCACCGTTATTTTTTCAAAGCTGATATTTATATATATGTATTATTTTAAACATATATATATTGTATTTAAAGCAGCTCTGGGCAGATTCAAACAGCACGATGAATTAATTAGGTTATACTATGGGTGCATTTTCCCAGAATTTACACAGAGCTCATGATACTTTGAGCTCAAAAAAAATGGTCACATCTCAGAACGATGTTAGCACATTCTCAACAAATCAAAATCAAGCAGATGTTTATATTCAATGTGATATTATTCATCAAGGGATAAAAGCTAGAGCAAGGTCAAACTGGAGCAGAGCAACCAGCAGCTTGATGTCGGGGGGAGAAATGGAAGCTATGGATAAGCAGTGATTCCAGCAGCTGATGGCCAACAACCTTATTACAATGTTAGCGCGGGGGATGCAAGCAAATGGTGGTTCACCACAGTCTCTTACCTCGTGGCAAAGAATAATCTGCAAAATTTCAAATAAATTAGGAGCTGGATTTGGTTTCAAACTAAAACAATTTTCTTTTTTTCTGGGAAACCTTTTTCTTCCTTGTTTTATCTCCACCACCATTTTACAATGAAGGTAATGATGATGAGGAACATGAAGAAAGATGATGATGATGATGATGATGATTGATACAAAAAATATGAAGACTGAAAAGCACATAATCAAATTCTCAACCCACAAGAATTTAAAGAGAAACTATAAAACACTGTCAGAAATGTCTCATCCGTCACATCTGTCCTGAGAGATCCGATCACCGGTGGTCAGTCCGACTCAGCTGACGTCCTCTGACCCGCTAAACTTCTCAGAGCCCAAACATTGATTTATTTGCAGCCGCAGCCACAATATTAACAGTGACCGCCACATATCGACGTGTTCTAAGCTGTCAGAGCTTCACGTATTGATTCACACAGCGAACCCATCTGTAAACACAGATTGGCTGAAAACAACAATATTTGGTCTTCAAGAACACAAGTCATGAAGTCAGATCCAATCACAGGAGACACCTTCTGACGTCAGGTTTGAACAGACAAACTTAGACACCTGTGATTGGACCTCTCAGGACGGACGTTAACACAAAGCTTCACGTTCTTCACAGACACAAACACCATCGCTTGTGAAATGATGCAGAAGCCATGAGTCAAAGCTTTGTTTTAAAAGGAACAGTTCAACATCGAGGGAAATGTTTTCTTTCCAAAATGTGAGATAATGAGACCGATGACAATCTTATCAAATATATTAGAAGTATTACGAGACAGACAGAGATATAAATATGACTTATATACTGTCTTTCTGTATCTGTTTACAGATGCATGAGCTATTTTACAGAGTAAACGATGCAGAAATGTAATTGAATTAAGAAAATAAATATATTTTGACATAAAGTTCATAATATTTGGCTGCATCTGTATTTGAATTCTTATGTACAGTTATTAATAACTAAGTTTGTGGTTAAACTGTAAAATATAAAGCCTCAATTATTTATGGATGTGAAAACGTTCATTGCTAATTCGTTGGAGAACTCATACATACTTATCTCACGCTGAGAAAGAATCTTGAACGATATTGAACCGTTCCTATGAAGGATAAACCCATCAGAATGCCTAAGGTTGTTGAAATCAGAGGAATCTGCTCAGGTTCCTTGCTGCCATCCCAATAATGTGCTTTAGTATGAGTCACCAGTTGCAGTTCAGCTCTTACCCAACAGGTGGGGTGCTTCCGCTGTCCATCCTTCCGTCCAGGATGACCTTGTCCTTCTCCAGCTCCAGGATGATGTTGTCGATGCGGCCGATCATTCGGTTCACTCTCTTCGACAGGCGCTGGCTCGCCTTTGACTCCTCCACTGTCTTCTCCTGGCCGCTCTTGAAGAGCTCCTTCTTTATTTCCTCCAGATCCTGGAGGACGCACAACGTGACCACAGATGAAATGCAGGATGCGAACACCAAAGTTGCTCCGGACATTTAACAGAACTTGTCCTGCCGCTGCCCCGAGTGAAAAATAGTGATTACATTTCCAACATCCGACAGACGCGAAACTGTAATAATACAAATATTATTCTCAGCATGAAAAAAGAAGAGCTATACAAGTAATAAATAAACATTACGTCTAAGAGTAGCTTCTTCACCTACCATCTCCAATGAGGTTTTAAAAAAAACACTGAGTCCTGCCACGTTCTTCATATGCGAAAGATAAGTTGATAAAATATCTGAGTTCATCTGTTTATCGCTGATTCTGAGACGAGCTGCAGAGAGACATTTGATTTGAATGGACAGATTGTCTCTACAGTGAGTCAGAAAGAGGCACCTCGTTGTATTCTTGAACGTCATCCTTCAGCTCTTCCAGCTCTTCTTTCTCCAGAGTCAACAGCCTCTTCTGCTCCTTCAGCTTTGAGCAGGCGTCGCTCAACATGTCGATCTCTTCTTTGGTGATCTCCTCATCCTGAAAGATTCAATCCAAAATATTTGATTATCCACCAAATATACAGTAAAAAAAAAACTGTCTAAATTAAAATAGTTATAAGGACTAGATAAAAGATGAAGGTAACGATAAACACAGTAGCTCATGTTCATGCTTTCCTTCCACTACAGACTCCACAAAACGTGTGTTCTCTTAACAGGAGCCACTCGTTTCATATAAAACCACATAAGAATAACCCAAACACACAGAGTGGATAACAGAAGGGAGGTTGGAGAGGAAAGAGGGAAACTCCCCATGACCCCAAAAACATGGAAGGAACTCTGTGGAGCTACAAAGGTTGTTAGACGAGAAAATAAAAGGTTGAACCTGGGTCAGTAACGCTGCCTGGGAGGATTGACAAGGATCAGAAGAGTCCATACAGATGTGGGTCAAACAGAGGCTGCAAGTCTTATTTGGCATTTGTTTAACCACACAGCACCAGAGGAGTGAGGTATAATCCAAAATAAAAAGTTTTATTTTAGGTATAAATTACAAAAATCTAATCCCATTTGTGGTCGGCCTCATTTTCTCCTGCTCTGCTTTCCAAAGACAACTAGCCTGGCTGACGTCACCATCTCCTGCTGTAAACCTTGTATTTAGGGTTCATATCCTTTCATTCAGTTTTCAATCCGTCTGAACGTGAGATCAAACAGTCGTCGAAAAGGGTAGAAAATAAAATAAAATGCCATAATTACACGCAAGTACTGTTTAACCCACATCTGGGTCTGCTCAGAGGGAGACGGGGAAACTGTGTTCAAAGGGATCAACTGGAGTGGACGTGAGGGTCGTTCGGGAGGAGACAACATTAAGACCTGACCTGGAAACACAGGAAAGTCTGCCACTGTTCAAACTGTGCAGTACAGAAGACAAAGAAGTGATGGAGTGAAACGACTGAGAGATAAATAAATGACTCAGCAAATGAGAAACAAATCATTTGTCGATATTAAGAGTTAGCTAAGGGGGTCCGTGACACCACTGTTTAAAATGCTGATGCTGCCGAAAGTAAATTAGCTTTAATTTTCAAACAGCCGCTAAATGTTCGTGTGAAATATAAAAAACGTGTCCAGCGTTTTACAGTCTACTGATTTCACCACCTGTACGTGTAGAGGTGTTACCTTGATTGCCTCTATGACAGGTGCTGTATCCCTCAGTATCTCTGAGTGAGCGGCCATGTCAGCCTTGGACATTGCTGCCTCTGTCTTCACCCGCTCTGCTTCGAGCTCCAGCTCACCCTGCAGCGCAAGAAACATCAAGAAACATCAAGAAACAAGATCTAACAACTATCACTTCAGACGTCTCTGGAGCCTAATTTGCTATTTAGTCAAATGTTCTGTATTTTATTCAGACAGATCTTTACCTACCAAAAGAAAGACAAGTGTCAAACAATCATTCAAAATGAGGATTGTCTTTTTCTACAAGGAATTAAAGATAGAAAACACACGAAGCATCGTTACCCTGGCGACCTTCTCCGCAGCGTCAGCCAACCTCTCCATCTCACGGTCCTTGTTGTCCTGGCGGATGGCCGCCTCCTCCTGCAGCATCGTCTCCACTTTGGTCTTATTGTCGACTTTGGAGAGCTCCATCTCTGCCACCTTCAACTGGGCCTCCTTCGTCTGGGGAGGAGCGAATGATGCAAGTGACGGATGAGCGTAGCCACTTTTTAAAACTGAAACCCTTCTTTCATTATGTCTACAAGTTGTGTTCACATACCACCATCTCAGGGAGCGTCTGCAGCGTGGTCTTCAGCTGGTCGGCAGGAGACAGCGTGTCGGGCAGGAACATGGCTCGGGACAGCAGCAGCAGAGAGGTGGGGATCTGCTGGTTCAGATGCAGCTCCAGCCACTTCAGACATCAGAGAGATGAAAGTCAACAGATGAATAAAACCTCTTTTAACGTGAGTCACCTTCACTGTTTCACTCAAATCAGTGAATCGAACAATTCAGCATTTTTATTTCATTTGTCGTGAAATATTCAACCCAGGCCAGAGAGTAAACCCATCCTCTGGTCGTTGTTGTTGTTACCTGGATGAGTTGCTCTCTCAGTCGATCTTCTGTGACGCCGAGAGATCTCATCCCTCTGGCGCGACAGGCTGCCTGCACCTCGTTCACGTTCAGACTCTCCACTCCTTCCTCAGCTATGAGCTGCATAAACAGAGCACAGAGGTTTTCATAATTCACTCCCACTGAAACAGACCAAGTTCTGATTTTAAAGAGGAAATGTTTCAAGTTCAGGAAGAACTCCGAACCTTGTCGTCTGCACGGATGGCCCTCAGCTTCATGATGAGCTGGAAGCGGAGGAAGTTGTTGGTCCCGATGGACTGGAGCTCCAGGAGGCGGCAGAGAGCCACCAGCTGAGGTCGGGTCAGGTTGTCCAGAGTCAGCTCGTCCTCAAACAGCTTGGAGAACTTGATGATCTGCTCATTACTGGGACGTTCACCGGAGTTGCGGATCTACAAAGATGAAGGAGACTTGTGGATCACATCTGAGGTCCGATAAAAGTCTGGGAGGTGGATCTATTTCAGAATAATCTTTAAACTAAGACCTAAACTATCTTACATTTATCATTTATATTACAGCCATTTTGACTTATCAATGTATCATTCAGCGTATAAGTATATACACAGCAGACCAACCGACATTTTACTGTTTCCACTACCAGGGGGCAGCACTGAGCCTATTCTCTCTCTGATCCGAACAAACACTGACACCAACCTTCTGGAAGAAGGTGGAGAACTCCTCCGTCACGTCGCCCTGGGCCGCCTTGTTCCTCAGAGCGATCTCCTCGATGGTGTCCTGCAAGAACTTGGCCATCTCCAGTTTGACCCTCAGCTCCTTTTTTAACCTCTCCTCCTGAAAACGACAGAACGGAAAATTAATAAAAAGAATAATCTGCGTTCTTCATAATAACGGCGAAAAAATGAGATTCTCTGTCAATTAAGTTTTTAAAAACATTATCAGCTCTTTAATGAAGGTAGTTCAAATTTAGGAAATGTATTTGTATTATACCGTCAATACTATGTCTCACAGTGTAATTCTACTTCCATAATCTGTAACAATACCTCCATCATCTATAATCTGTTGTGTTTTGTGATAAGCGTAAGAAAAACACACAAAGTTTTTGTAAATAAACCCACTCGGATATTTACGTAGCATTGATTATTAGCATGAGCATATAAACGCACATAAACAGTGTGGAACAACAGGTCAGGATTAGACTGTAATTAGGATTAACTGTTGTCAGGGAGAGACAGTACTCTGATCACCTCATCAGGATCTCAGGTGAAAGTTCATGAGAAGGATTAAGATTTAAATTTTATCTTCTTATTTAAGGGTGAACACTTGTACAGTCGCTGATCCAACAGTGTGTGGGACACTGTGATATTCAGTTTGTCAGGAAACAAGAAAAACAATCAGCCAGTAACTCCATAATAAATAAATCCAATATTGTTAATTGTATTGTTATTTGATAGTCATCTTAATTTGAATATGTCACATTGGGCAGTAGTAAACTAATTGACACTTTAAATCATTCTCTGATATTTATATATAAATAAGTAAAGTAGCTGCAGCCCTATAAGCCACTGTGTCTCAACCCACACTGATATGAATAATCAAGGTCTCATGCATCTTGAGCCCAGGTTTCTTTACCTTCTTTGACTGTGTCTCAAAGGTGGACGGCAACATGTTGGGGAAGAGTTTCAGAGCTACGGGGAGCAGGAACTCCATGAAGGGGACGATGATGAAGACCAGGAAGGGAAGAAGTCGGAAGACGTCTGCACACGTTCTGAGAAACTGAGGAGAAAGTGCAGAAAAGTGGCATGAGGACAAGAATCTTTTTCTTTTCAGAACATCGAAGTAAGTGTCTGCTTGGTGAACATTTAGGGCCTCCAGCAGGCTGTAGTGTGTGCGTGCCTCCACCAGGGGGAAGTGTCACCAGAGAAAGCTGTGGTAACGTTTGCCTGGACTTTTGTCTTTTGGCACAATCAGCTCCTCTAATAACAGTTTCAACAGTCAGCAATTTTAACTCACACCACCACCACCACCACCCCCCAGCAACTGAAACCTCCTAATTCACTGATGCATCATTTGCATGGAGCTGAAAACCAAAGTGAACATTCTGACTCAGAGGATTTTAAAAAGAAACGTCCACTGGAGCCAACAGGAAGCACGTTTGTTCAGCGTGGACCTGAACAAACCTCAGAGTGTGGAAGGGGCACGCAGACACTAGTCTACTTCATTGTGCAGCTGTCCGACTGTGGCTTACTGACCGTCAGCGGGACACAATCCCAACCAACCGTTTACAGAAACCGGCGCTGAGGGGAGACGGCCAAAACACGAGTCCTCCTTTCTCGGCCCTTTCCACCTGCATGTCAGTGGACCAGTAGGGTGAAGGATTTAGGGCCAGCGTGAGTGAAAAGGCCTTTGTCCGCAGTTCCATTGACATGTATATCATCTCCCAGAGTTCCACATCAAAGCAGGGCGGAGGGGGTGACAGATCAAAATAGAAGGAGCCTTAAACGGAGGCCTGAGTATTGTGAGTGAATATGAAAGAAGGAGATTAAGGAGGCAAAGCCAGGCCGGGCCTGATGAATGGGGTGTAAATGGGTTCGGGGACATGCGCTCCAAGGGAGTCAGCTGCATTTGAAAAGGTGCAGATGGGACGGTGGTGTGGGTTTAATGCAAAGGAGGGGGGGGGCAGTCAGTGGTCATCATCAGCACTGACCAGCAGCGATTAGCACTGAGCCTTAATTTCCTCTGTTTCTTTAGCTGATCACACAGCCCACACTTGATGAATCGTAAATAAGTTAATTAAACCGTTTCCTGTCTTTCAATAGAAAAATGTTGTGATGTAATAATATTGTTTAAGCACAGGTTAACTAAAATGATGTTTTTATATATAAATATGTTATATCAAATAAACAGGAAATTTAAGTTTTGAAGCCAGACACGAAGCCAAAAATCCAAACTTTGAATCTGTATCTCAGCCGCAGATTGTCGAACCCGGCGAGCTGAGGTGCGGTCGACCTGAGGCAGAGCGTTCACAACGTTGCCAGTCTTTTCCGCTAAGTCTGTACCATCCTGTACGGCACAGGAACACGGGCACCAGTAAGTAAGTGTGACCCGGGCTGACCTTCTCACCTGCCCTGACACGTCACCTGTGTGCCAGCGCCTGTATCAGATTACTGCAGCGAGCTCTGGGCCTCGGTCCAGCGGCTCGCTGCCCTGAATGTGGGACGAGCGGGTGCCGTGAATTCAGAGCAGGTTTTGTCAGAGACGATGAGAAGAGTCCGTTGTGGAAACGATGTTGATTTTACTTGTTTACTTGCTGTGTTTACTCTGCATCTGGTTTAAATTAGTGTAAAACCTGGTTTGTATGAGTAAATAATGTGGTTAAATCCTCAGCGGAAACTTCATTACAACAAACAACCAATGGGGTGTTTTACTATTTCTACACATTTCAGTCAAGTTCCATTTGTATCATATTTTAGTGTTTGACATCAAACAGCTGCTGTATCACCATCAGTCGCTGCAAACTTTTCAGAAAAAAACCAGAAACTTTGATTGTGTTTCTACTAAAAGTTTAAGTTCTAATCCGCTGCAGCCGGTACAACAAAAACTGGGCGAAGTTAACCGAGGACTTTTCTAATCAAAGCGACAACACGTAAAAGCTTCAACCTCAAGAGCTTTAATCAGGCAGCACAGCAGCAGCGGGCGCCTGGTGAGTCAACACTCAGCGTGCCGCCAATTTCTATAATTGATCCCTTTAGGTTTGAGAAGCTGTGGATTAAACATTATAGAACAAGATGTCTGAGCTGTCCGTCTCCACTCCGTCATTCCTGAGCTCTACACTCATGCTGGTTGTCCACAGTGTAAACTCTGAGTCATAGCGGAAACACGTCTTTCCTTACCCAGTGGCTGATGGCTCAGTTCTTTCCATTTCTCTTTCTGGTCTAATAAACTGTCCAGTAATTCCCTTTAAGTAACACATCATTTTAACGGATTTGGTCTCCAGAGAAAAACCTTCACCACTTCATCTACGTGTCCTCCCTGCCGGCCTCACCTGTCTCCTCTCGCGTCGGGACAGGACGTTTCCGTTCAACACCCTCCACAGCATTCGCCCGGCAATGGTGGTGTCAATCCACAGTAGCCTGAAGCCGTGGTAGTAGTGCTTGACTTCATCCACCACCCACTGTCGGACCGTCCTCCTCACACGTTCTGCATCCAGCGTGGGACTGTACACCGGCCCTCCTTCCTCCAGCTTCTTCTTGTCCTTTATCGAACGCAGGGATTTCTCCACCTTCGAATCGTCCCACCTCCTCCTCGAGATGTGTATCCACCTGACTCCGGAGATGTCCTGGGCCCGTGCTATCGTCCACTGGGCCCCTGCTGTGATCGCAGGTTGCATTGAGGGGGAGGCCCCCAGCAAAAAAGGGCAGTAGAGCCGCTGTGAGTCCGAGCTCTGGCAGGGGCCCACATTTCCATCTAACACAGGGAGGTAAGGACCGAATGGAGAGACGTGGGACAAACTTCCAGGTCGTCCATCAAGTCTAAGGAAACAACAGGGTGAGGACATCAGGAAGAAAAGTTCAGACGAAGATTCAATCACACATTTTACTTTAAATTAAACACTGACGGCTTTAGACCAAAAAAACCTATTAACACAACAGAAAAATGTGAATATGGTTTCTTATTCTGATTTTTATATTCAGATGTTCTGTTTAATCCTCATGCTCATTCCACTTACATCTGACTGGAGAGTCTGACGGCTGAGCAGTTGAAACAGGCACCATCTTGTCGTTTCCCTGAAAAGAAGGAAAACGGATTTGTTTTTAAAGGTGCAATATAAATTGTCAGTAGCTTTGTCACTGTTTCTCAGGCTTTATGAATCTGTAACTTTATCACTGTTTCTCAGGCTTTATGAATCTGTAACTTTATCACTGCTTAGCATGAAAATCTCTGGAATAAAGTTTGATGAAGAAAATCACTTCAAAGTGTTTATATTTGCCTTTCACACTATAATCAAGTTCAGGTCATTTACTTACAGTTACTAATGTTTAAATGTTTTAACTAATGTGTTGTGCACGTTGTCCACAGAATAAATTCAGTGTATTGTTTCTGTGAGAGTATCTGTGCCTCAGTGGCCATAACACCCCCACCCTCCCTCAGTGAGGCCCACGGCGGGGCTCCAAAGCCCCAGAGGCCACTGTCAGGGCGAAGTGTGCACATGCGGAGAGAGGGCGGAGTGGTGAGACCCTTCAAGCCAATCATCAGAGAGCAGATGACGTAACCACACCCTTCCTCTGGTCCTCACATGGCCGGCTGGAGTAAATCCAGTAAGGCCTGGTCGAACATGTCCGGCTGTGGCCGGCAGCCAGTACGACGCAGAGTTTACTGGAACACAGTCACCTTTGTGGCAGAAGCCACTGCAGCACAGAGAGAAATCCCTGGAAATACAGCAGATTACCTGACCCTGACCTCTACTGTTCTCCTGCACTGCACACACATCTAACCACCGTGCTTCCTCTGTGAGCGTATCCCCACCCGGGGGGGGTTTCAGTATTGGTTTCATGCTCAAAACACTTTCACTCCAAGTTATGTCACATTAGGTTTATAATTTATCGTTAAATGTCTTTTAACAGCATGTTTGTTGAAATAATTTTCAAATCATAAATTACATTGAAAATATATTGTAAATACAAACTGTGGCATAATAATAATAATAATAACAACTGCATTTGTATAGCACTTATCTAAACAAAGTGCTTCACAGGAAAAATAATACAATCCATGGCTAGAGGAAGAATAAATTATAATAAAAAGGTAATTCAGTTAGATTTGAGCCACGCAGCAGGTTGTTGTGGAAATGAAAATAATAACTTTAATTGTACCTTGGTGTAATCAAGTATTTCAGCCTATTAATCACAATAACGTTAAGAGAGGCTCAAAGTAAATCTGACTAGATAAAGTATATAATCTATGTATATAAAACTGTGTGACACTCCTGAAAATGAAAAGTAAACATAACATGACTTTCATTTCTGTGTAATTGGTACGTTCTCCTGGATTACTCTCAGTGATTTCAGTAAGAAACAAAGCTTCTAACTACAACCTGTGACATAAACGATTTGTTTCAGGTTCGGGCAGGTGTGGACAAATGTGGACTCGCTAGTTCTCGGTGGAACTATTTTTGTCCTGTTCCGCTTGAGAACAAGTCAACAATTAGTCAAAGCTAAAGCAAGAAACCACATCGTGTATTTTATGTCAACTGAGCTAACGTCTAATCAACACGTCTGTGAAGTGACAATTTCAGCAAATTACAGGAATAAATCACAATAAAAGTAAACTTGAATTTACGACTTATTTTGATTTGGTCTTGACCCAGAATAAACTCTGGGGTCTGGTCATGGAGGGTCAGAACTAGGTCACACTCCCCCCTCCTGCCTGCTTCACTTTTGGAAAGCACAGCTAACTTGTGAGTGACCCCCCCCCCCCAGCTCTGAGTGGCAGTAAATTCTAAAATAGAAGTCTAATAAAACTTCCATAATTAACCTCGTGAGCAGTAAATAGCCACAGAGAGGCCTCCAGTCAGTCCCTGTACGTGCTCCTGTGATAAGGTTCAATCAAGAAGCATCAATATTTTCAACATCAGCAGCCTTGCAGACAAAACAAGCTGTTTTTCAATTCACGGCCTAAAAATCTGCATCTTAGGTAAATTACCATTTGTTTTGTGAGCAGCTCACATGTTTGAATCTGACTGACGTGGAGGTAAGAGAAGAACAGGACAGTTTGTAGGGCTGCGTAATTGGTTTATCAACTGGACACCTCCCATCGTACATTTCTTAGCGTTAGAGCCAGAGCGACAAAGAGTACAGGCGAGAGCTGTAAATCCATGGGCCACGGTGAGACTGTTTCTTCCCCTGCATCGACTTTCTTTATATATATTTGTTTAAATCGACTTGAAAACAAAAGTGACTCAAAACAAGCTGAGTTGTTTAAGGGACACAGTGAGAGGACGAGCTGAAATCCAGACCGTGGTTCACTCTGTTAGGCTCGGCCTTCTGAGTATGTAGAGGAGGAGGTGTCAGACTGTTTGGTGCATCCATAAAATATGACGTTGTAGGTTCATTTCCCAGGGAACTTCCCTCTCAGACTTACTGACCATAAGTGCAGACAACTGAGACTCACATTTTCAGCCGTCTCAGCTGGATGAACCACATAAAACAAGTAAACATATCGCTCCATATGTTGTTCTAGATGCCTCTTCACACACCGATAAAACTGCAACTAGGTTTCTACCGTATCATTTAACGCTGGGTTAGATAATGCTCTAATCTTTACTACAACTGACCTACAGCCTCTGTTTAATGACTGCTGTGCTTCCATTGTGCAAAGACAGCATGGTGGTCAATGTTCAGGAGTCACAGCGGCAGTGAATTTAAATTAACCCGATCAGAGCTGGGATTATCATTAACTGATTATTGTTAAAATGTTCCAGCCTCTGTTTTTTGTGCAGTGGGAGATTCATGAGACTCGTGATTGTGACCAGGTCCTGCGAGCTCAGACATGAATAAGCAATGAGAGAATTAACCCTCTTACTCAGGTGGAGTTATAAGAGGCAGTGACCTTTCTTCATGGAAGCAGAGCAATTTGTCTGATAATCTGGGCCTAAAGCCAAGAGCAGGGTCTCAGGTGGTACGGCCAAATCCCCGTCATGAGCCTATCATCTATTTATAAGCACAGCTGTAATGCACCAACGTAAATACAAACATTTCTGAAAAAATAAATCTGGGGCATTAATGTCTCCAGTCCCTTAACTGTGCGGCTATGACACACCTAGAAACCAAACAATGAAAGTGCAAAGAGACGTATCACTTTCATATCACACTGGTTATACAACAGGTACACTGAGAGGCCTCTGAAGAACGTGCACTGATATGGAAATATACTGAGTTGCTCTGGAGCCACAATCTGTTTGAGCAAAGACCAGTAGAAAGATAGTTCAACACAAAATAAAAGTACTTCTCTTAAGAGAGGGACATTAATAGAACGAGTGACGTGGGGTTTAAGATTACAGCCATTGAGGTTACGATTATTCTAAAGTGTGACTGATATAAAAATTACACTGAGATGCCATTTTAAAAACCCTTATGACAACAAAATGTAATTGATAGTTTAACATTATAGTTTAAATAACTAAATAGAACAGACAAAAATACAACCAAATGTAAAGAACTGTAATTTAAAATGTTTATACAATACTTTAGGTAGAATATAAACATAAATACGCATCTTTTCTGCATCATGTATTATCAGTGAATCAATAGATCGGTTGGGTTCTGAATTATTTTCATATGTTATTCAGGTGAGTAATAAACTGTATATAGCTAATGACTCTATCCTACTGCCAACAGGATTTATAGAGTGAATAACCATTCAGTAATGTCTGTGTTTGGCGACTACAGTGTGTTAGAAAATCATTATTCTATCAATCAATGGAACAGTCACAGCAGCTTTAGTTGAACTGAACCAAAAATGAGTTCAAATGTCAGCAGGAGACACTTGTGAGGGAGAAGCACAACGTTCCCACAATGCATCACCATTATGCTGCAACTCATCGTTTCACAACAAACGGACGACCGAGAAAAACCGACGTAAATCGAGACAAACTGCCGAACACCCACAGACAGACGCATATATTCAGCTCACATCTCACATCTTCATCACTCGATCAGACATTTTTCATGTTGTCAAACCCTAATGATCAAAACCCTCGATGATCTGAACCACTCTTTAAAGATAGAATACTAAAAATAATAATAAATAAACTGAATTAACTAAACACTGATATTTGCACGTGGGAGAAACGCCATCTTTGTTTCTGGTCGTACGGTCTGAAGAACAATAAAGTTCACTTTGACCTCGATGTTTTGGATGAATTGAATAAAATAAAATAAAAAACCTGCACAGCTTCATTCATGTTTAAACAGGGATGTCTTGCTGATGCTGAATGAACACATGGAAACCTGTTCCCATGGCAACAAGCATCCTGCAGCAGAGAGGAGAGGGGGAGGGGGA